GAGAGCTCTCCACGCCCTCATACCTTTCATTCCAGCTCCTTTCCAGTTGCTATCTTAATGCCCTTCGAGCTCCAAAACCCCTAATCAACACAGAGCAGAGCCAAGCCAAGCCTTGCAGGCTGTCTGGAGCCTTCCACTCGCCTCCTGCTCGTGACTGGCGCGCACCAGGAAGGACATTCCTTACCGACAGGACCTTATGCCTTTGTGCAATGCAACCCCGGGTGCACGGAGCACTGCATCTTAAGCACTCAGGGCACCCTAAACACCACCTGCATGCTGCTATCGCATGCCCTCTGTTACCACTCAAAGCCTTTTGAACCACATTAGGGCTGGCAAAGAAAGTTATCAGCGCCTCACATCAATTCTTGCCTACTGATGGAGCCGCAGCATCCCTGGTTCCACAGACCCAATAGGGAAAACACCTCCCCAGCTGGTACAGGGCAAGTAAAGGAAGCAAACAGAGCCTTACGTTTGGAGGTGCACTGGGAGCAGGGAAGGAGAAGAGGAAAGGGCAAGTTGCTTGAGCAAACATTCAAACCTAATGAGCGTCAACTGCAGATGAAAGCACAAGCGTGCTGCAGAGGAACACTGCAGGGAGATGAATGCTCAAGCACCACGCTATACAGTTACCTCCACGTCCACACCTGAAGTTACAAGACACCAGCACCAGGGAAAGGCCTTTAGAAGGAGACCTTGGCCTTTGTCAGGTCCCTAACGCTGCAGCGAGGGCAGCACAAGCTTTGCCTTTCACACAAGCCAGCACTGGGCACTTTTGTTCTCAACCCCGTGATTGATTTCTAGGAGCATCCTGCTGGTTTCGGTGCCACAATCCATGCTGCAGGCTCTGTGCCCCGGGGGTGGAGGGGGAAGAGCAGGTCCTGTTCCAAAACACATCCCAAACAAGCTATGTGAACAACAGCTTAGCTAGCACTGAGCAGAGCATGAACGCTGCTGCATCTGCTTCATTGGAGGGGCTCAAAGGGGAGGATACAGGGACACATCTCCCCCTCAAAACCATCAGATATGCCCATGGTAGGGGGGTTGGAACTAGATGACCTTGAGGTCCTTTCCAACCCTCACTGTTCTATGAGTCTATGAATTCTTCATCGTTTATTGTGTGAGTGTGAATTAACCCCAGCCCTTTCTGGCTTTCCATCACCCCAGCAGCCAAGCACCGGCAACAGAAACAGGCTTCAAACAGAACACGACCACCTGGAAACATCAGGAGAATCAAGGCTCTGTTTCCCTTCCTTCCCCTCGGTTTTCCTCCGGCTCAAGACACAAGGAAACACATCCCAGTGTAAACACCTTAGAGCTGGATGCAACCTTAATGACAGCCTTAATGAAAGCTTCACCAGCCCCGATACCCGGCTCTGCTCTCAGGTGAGTGAGAAGAGGAAGGTGACTCAGGGGCCACCTCAAGCTGCATTACAAGGCTGCTGACTCCCAGTTAAACCCTCCCTGGACCCACCCCTGGCATTCCAGGGCAGTGTTTTTCATGTTCAAAGGGACAAGTGTGACACAAGAGCTGGTGTCCCGCTGACACCAGTGAAGGCAGCCCCTGGAAACGCTGGACTGGCTGCTCCCACATGCACGGAGGCTCTGCTAAGGGTTTATTATGGGATACACATGGCTCTAGCCTGTGCTCATTCCCAGTCGTCTCTCACACAGAGATGCTTAAAACCCAGACCAAGCAGGATGGGCTGAAACAGCCCCAAGTGCATGTGCCTTGGACATGGGGCTGGCAACCCGGACCTATGGGGGTCCTTCAACCCTGTGGGGCACGGGGGACCCTCCACCAGAGCCCCACATCCCTATGGGGCACAGGGACAGTCCATGGGGAATTGGAGTACTCCACACCTCTGACCCCAACCCTCGTGGTGCCCACAGACCCCCCCTCCATCCTTCTTTTTGACTCCTACAGGGGCCAGAGGCTTTCCCATCCCTATCCCAGGGCCCCACAGGAGCCGGAGGCCCCTTGGTCCCTCACCATCGCCTCTGTGCGGCTCAGAATCCCCCCCCATCCCTAACTCCCTACAGCACTTGGAGCCCTCCCCATTCCCTAATTTCCTACAGCACTTGGTGCCCCCCCATTCCGTAATTCCCTGCAGCACTTGGAGACCCCCCCCAATCCCTAATTCCCTACAACACTTGGAGCCCCCCCACCCCTAATTCCCTACAGCACTCGGAGCCCCCCCACCCCTACTTCCCTACAACACTTGGAGCCCCCCCATCCCTAACTCCCTACAGCACTCGGAGCTCCCCCCCATCCCTAATTCCCTACAGCACTCGGAGCTCCCCCCATCCGTACTTCCCTACGGCACTTGGAGCCCTCCCATCCCTAACTCCCTACAGCACTCAGAGCCCCCCCATCCCTAATTCCCTACAGCACTCAGAGCCCCCCATCCCTAACTCCCTACAGCACTCAGAGCCCCCCCATCCCTAATTCCCTACAGCACTCAGTGCCCCCCCATCCCTAATTCCCTACAGCACTCAGAGCCCCCCCATCCCTAATTCCCTACAGCACTCGGAGCCCCCATAATTCCCTACAACACTTGGCAGCCCCCCCATCCCTAACTCCCTACACCACTCGGAGCCCCCCCTCCATCCCCTTTCCCCCCCCATTCACCCCCGTTCTCACCGCGTGTGCCGCCGGCCGCCCTCGCTCCTCAGCGCGGCCAGGTCTACCTCTGCGCGCCCCAGGAACTTGTCCATGCCCACGAGGGCCCGGTGCAGCACGGTGAGGCGCAGCGCGGCGGCCCGCGGGGGCAGCTCGAACGTGGCCTCCTCTCGCCACAGCGGCTGCCCCTGGCACCGCTCCGCCACCGACGTGGAGAACTTGTCCCTGCCCAGCGCCATCACCGTGTACGCGTCGCTGCCCCCCACGGCCGCCGCCTTGGGCCGCAGCCCCCGGGCTCGCAGCACCGTTACCTGCACGTGGGTGGGCACCCAGCCCGCTGCCAGCCCCGAGCCGGACATGGCGGAGGGAGCGGGGACGGGGACGGGGACGGGGACGGGGATGGGGACGGGAATGGCGATGGGAGCGGTCCCGTACCGCCCCTCTCGCGAGAGCAAGGGGCGGGGCCCGGGGGGTGGAGCTTGAGGGGAAGGGGCGGGGCCTGGGGCGGGGGTGGTACCGGTGTGTACAGGTGTGTACAGGTGTGTGTACACGTGTATGTACAGGTGTATGTACGGGTGTATGTATAGGTGTATGTACAGGTGTATGTATAGGTGTATGTACAGGTGTATGTACAGGTGTGTATAGGTGTATGTACTGGTGTATGTAGAGGTGTGTATAGGTGTATGTATAGGTGTATGTACAGGTGTGTATAGGTGTATGTACAGGTGTATGTATAGGTGTATGTACAGGTGTATGTACAGGTGTATGTACAGGTGTATGTATAGGTGTATGTACAGGTGTGTATAGGTGTATGTACAGGTGTATGTATAGGTGTATGTACAGGTGTGTATAGGTGTATGTACAGGTGTATGTATAGGTGTATGTACAGGTGTGTATAGGTGTATGTACAGGTGTATGTACAGGTGTATGTACAGGTGTATGTATAGGTGTATGTACAGGTGTGTAGAGGTGTATGTAGAGGTGTATGTAGAGGTGTGTATAGGTGTACGTACAGGTGTATGTATAGGTGTATGTACAGGTGTGTATAGGTGTATGTACAGGTGTATTTACAGGTGTGTATAGGTGTATGTATAGGTGTATGTACAGGTGTTTATAGGTGTATGTATAGGTGTATGTACAGGTGTGTATAGGTGTATGTACAGGTGTGTATAGGTGTATGTATAGGTGTATGTATGGGTGTGTATAGGTGTATGTACTGGTGTATGTACAGGTGTATGTATAGGTGTATGTACAGGTGTGTATAGGTGTATGTACAGGTGTGTATAGGTGTATGTACAGGTGTATGTATAGGTGTATGTATAGGTGTATGTATAGGTGTATGTACAGGTGTATGTACAGGTGTATGTATAGGTATATGTACAGGTGTATGTACAGGTGTATGTATAGGTATATGTACAGGTGTATGTATAGGTGTATGTATAGGTGTATGTACAGGTGTATGTACAGGTGTATGTATAGGTATATGTACAGGTGCATACATAGATGTATGAATAGGTGTGTACAGGTATGTGTACAGGTCTATGTATGTACAAATGTGTGTACAGCTACATGCATGTACAGGTATATGAACACATGTACGTGCAGGTATTTTTACAGGTATGTATACAGGTCTATGTATGTCCAGATGTATGTACAGGTATGTGCACGTACGGGTGTATGTTCAGGTGTATGTACAGGTCTGTGTTCAGGTATGTATACAGGTCTATGTATGTCCAGACGTGTACAGTTATGTGCATGTACAAGTGTATGTACAGGTGTATGATAAGGTATGTACTATACTGGTGCAAGTATAGGTGTGTGTACAGATGTGTGCATATGTGCTTTACAGGTGTGTGCCCAGGTATAGGTACAGTACAGGTGTGTGCTGTACAGGCACATATATAGGTGTATGTACAGGTATGTGCTGTACAGATGCATGCACACGTATGTGCATGTACAAGTGCATGAATGCACACGCGTGGCATGCATAGGTGTGCAAAGGTGTATGCAGAGGGGTGTGCATGTACAGGTGTGTGCAGCTGTATGCACAGGTACATGTACAGGTGTGTGTAGGGTGTCTGTGTGTGTACAGAGGCGTGCAGGGCTGTGTGTGGCTTTGTGTCCCCATGGAGCAGTGCATCCGGATGCTCCGAGGCTTCTCCAGCAGCAATCTCAAAGGAAAAATGCCATTTCCCAAACCCTGACATCGATTTAATGGGAACTGGGATCCATGTCAGCAACGGGGCAGCTCCGATGAAACCCTCCTCAACCTCCCTGTAAGAGCCCTTGTCCTGCTGCTCCTTGTACCCAGATCCAGGCTTTGGGATGGAAAACGCCCTCCTGCAATGCCTGTCCCCGATGGAAAGGCAGAAACAGGAGCATAATCCACAGGGTTTGCCCGGTTCCCCTTGCTCGGAGCTCCTCTTGCTCTCCTGCAGGAGGCTCTTGTCCCCTTCCTGATGGGCTTCCTGGGCCCCGGACGATGGGAATTCTTCATCCTTCCAGAGAGCAGACCCACGACGTCCTGCTTCCAGCCAGGAAACACCCCGGCTGGGAGCTGGTCCCCGTCCACACAGCGAGCACAGGCACGTCCCCAAGGCTGCGCTGCCTCTTGGAGAGCAGCTCAGGTGCCTTTTCCCAACCGGCTCCAGTTCTCCAGCACCAACAGCACTGAGGAGCCGGCTCCCTGGTCCCTGCTGTGACCGCGAGCGCTCCCGAGGGAGCATCCCTCTGCTCCCAGCGCACTGGAGGCTCCTTCCAGCGCCGTCACCCCCAGCGCTGCTCCTCCAGTCCCTCTGAAGCACCCGGCCCTGTAGGAAGAGGGTGGGAAGTGATGGAGCATCACCCACAGGGCAAAGCACTTACGGCATCACTGGAAGCACTCACTGCATCCCTCTGGGAGCACTCACTGCACTAGATGCACACACTGCGCTGGAAGCACTGCACTGGGTGCACTCACTGCACTAGATGCACACGCTGCACTGGATGCACTGCACTGGATGCACTGCTCTGGATGCACTCACTGCACTAGAAGCAATGCACTGGATGCACTCACTTCACTAGAAGCAATGCACTGAAAGCACTGCACTGGATGCACTGCACTGAAAGCACTGCACTGGATGCACTTACTGCACTAGAAGCAATGCACTGGAAGCACTGCTCTGGATGCACTCACTGCACTAGAAGCAATGCACTGGAAGCACTGCTCTGGATGCACTCACTGCACTAGAAGCAATGCACTGGAAGCACTGCTCTGGATGCACTCACTGCACTAGAAGCAATGCACTGAAAGCACTGCACTGGATGCACTTACTGCACTAGAAGCAATGCACTGGAAGCACTGCTCTGGATGCACTCACTGCACTAGAAGCAATGCACTTGGAAGCACTGCTCTGGATGCACTCACTGCACTAGAAGCAATGCACTGGAAGCACTGCTCTGGATGCACTCACTGCGCTAGAAGCAATGCACTGGAAGCACTGCACTGGATGCACTGCCCTGGATGCACTGCACTGGAAGCACTGCCCTGGAAGCACTGCCCTGGAAGCACTGCCCTGGATGCACTCACTGCACTCACGCTGTTCCCGGCTCTCAGCTGCTCCCGGTCAGACGGAGGGACCTGCTGGTGTCTCTCTGCCGGCAAACCTTGAACAGGAGAGCACAGCGTGTGAGGAGCCTGCACCCTTCCCGTGACTGAGCATCCCCTGTTCCCAGCGGCGGTGAATCCCTCCTCGGAACCTCTCTGCCAGCAGCAGCTCTGCCTGTGTGTGCCGGCAGGACCCTCTCCTGCCCTCGGGCATCCAGAGGGGCTTTAGACCAGAGAAAGCTGCTTAAAACCCACAGGAATCAGAAGAATTCAAATCCCGGGGGGTGTGGGGGGGGGAACCCTTCCTGTAATTCACAGACGGTGTAAATCCACGGGCACATCCCTGCCAACCCTCTGCCCTGGCTGCGGCCATGGGAAGCCCATCTCCCATCCGCAGGGCTGACGGAGGGTGACGAAATAGGTTCCCTTCCCAGATTTGCACTCTGTCAGAGGGCAAAGCAACCCACGACAGCCCCGGCTGCCTCGTTGCAAAAGGATTCCCCACGTTTTCCTTCTTTAAGGGCAAAAAGTGGGCGAAAGGAGAGGCCAAAAGTCAGGCTTTGGGACTCATTCAGCTCCTTTGCTTCCCTATTCACCACCAGGGTTTTCTTTACCCAGGATCAACAGACCCCATCCTGGCAGCCTTGGGAAAGGACAAGGCAGGAGCAGGACCCCAGTTTTGCAACCCAGTGGAAGGGCTGGGGCTTTAAGGCAACGATTCCCATGCACCCCATTGCCCGCCCGCCCTCCATCTCCTCACTGCCCCATCAGACCACATCCCTGCCACCAACATCCCCTTCACTGCACCCCAAAGGGCTGCTCCCCATAAGCCCAAGTGCCCGCAGGTACCTACTCATCAAGCTGTGCACCCAGCGCTGTCTGGGTACCCTGGGACAGGCTGGTCTCCTCCACCCGGCTCCCATCCTCCCCGGGGGCTCCCACTTTGCTGTCTCCCAAGGGAGCCGCTCCCGTGGGGCTGAAGGCACAGGGGCAGCGCTGTAGGTCCCGGGACACGGCGTGGAGCCGGCGGTCGGCGCGGCGCGGGCAGCAGAGCAGCTTGCGGAAGGCGCTCCTGAAGTCGGGGCTGCGGCAGTAGATGATGGGGTTGAAGGCTGAGTTGATGTAGCCCAGCCAGTTGAGGAAGAGGAAGAGCTGATCCGGCACCAGCCCCCGGCAGAAGACCTTGATGATGTTGGCCACGAAGAAGGGCAGCCAGCACAGCGTGAAGGTGCCCATGATGATGCCCAGGGTCTTGAGCGCCTTGTGCTCCTTGATGGCCAGCAGACGGGAGGGACGCCTGAGCCGGCTTCTCCTAGAGCCAGGGCTGGGGGGGGCCTGCAGGAACCTCACCTTGTCCTTGCCGATGAGGTGGATGTGGCGCGTAGCCACGGCAAAGACGCGGACGTAGACAAAGATCATGACGAGCAGGGGCACGTAGAAGGAGATGGTGGAGGAGATGATGGCGTAGGTCATGTTGGTGACAAAGTCACAGCAGCGCGGGTCGTCGTAGCAGCGCACCGCCTGCTCGTCCGCCCCGTCCCGCCACCAGTGGTTCATGATGGGCAGGAAGGAGATGAAGGCAGAGATGCCCCACACCAGGCACACCACAGCCCGTGCCCTGCCCTTGGTCACCAGCGCCTCGTACTGCAGCGGCGACATGATGGCCAGGTAGCGATCCACGGCGATGGCGCACAGCGTCTCGATGCTGGCCGTCACGCACAGCACATCCAGCGAGGTCCACAGCTCGCACACCACCGTGCCGTAGGGCCAGTGCCCGCTCAGCAGGATGGTGGCCCCCGGCGGCACCACCAGCGAGCCCATGATGAGGTCGGCGCAAGCCAGCGAGGTGACGAACACGTTGGTCATGGTCTGCAGCCGCGGCGTCTTGGCGATGGCCACGATCACCAGCAAGTTACCGGCCACCGTGACGAGCACCGTGATGCTCAGGGCAGCCCCCAGCACCCACTGCCGGCTCAGGCTGGCGGCCCCGCTGCAGTTACCGCCGCTGCCCAGCGCCGCCGCTGCCCCCCAGGCGCTGCCGTTACCCGCGGGCACGGGGCTCATCTCCTCCGGACCGGGGCTGGCGGAGGGGGGGGCTCGCCCGCTGCGCCCCGACGTGCGCACCCCGCGGCCGCCGCAGCCCGGAGCAGCCCTCGGGGCGGACCGGCGGGGCCGGGCTGCCCTAAGGGGCGCTGCTGGAGGAGGAGCCTTTAAAGGCTCGGAGATCAATGGAAGAGGAGCGGGCTGCGGCACCGCCTCTCCCCAACACGGGCACCCCCCGGCCCGCCCCGCTCCCCTCCGTGCGTTCCAGCTCCCCACTGGGCGCTCCAGCCCCTCACCGTGAGCTCCAGCCCCTCACCGTGAGCTCCAGCCTCTCACCGTGAGCTCCAGCCCCTCACCGTGAGCTCCAGCCCCTCACCGTGAGCTCCAGCCCCTCACCGTGTGCTCCAGCCCCTCACCGTGAGCTCCAGCCCCTCACCGTGAGCTCCAGCCTCTCACAGTGAGCTCCAGCCCCTCACCGTGCACTCCAACCCCTCACCGTGAGCTCCAGCCCCTCACCGTGTGCTCCAACCCCTCACCGTGAGCTCCAGCCCCTCACCGTGTGCTCCAACCCCTCACCGTGAGCGCCAACCACTCACTGTGAGCTCCAACCCCTCTCTGTACTCTCCATCCCCTCACCATGAGCTCCAGCCCCTCACCATGAGCTTCAACCCCTCACCATGAGCTCCATCCCCTCTCCATGACCTCCATCCCCTCACCATGACCTCCATCCCCTCACCACGAGCTCCAACCCCTCACCATGACCTCCATCCCCTCTCCATGACCTCCATCCCCTCTCCATGACCTCCATCCCCTCTCCATGACCTCCATTCCCTCACCATGACCTCCATCCCCTCACCACGAGCTCCAACCCCTCACCATGAGCTCCATCCACTCACCATGAGCTCCATCCCTTCACTGTGCCCAGGACTTTATACTGGAGCAAACCCATGCATTCCTCGCCATGCTCAGGCTCTCCCTGGGCAGAACAGGCTGGCACTGGAGGGGACAATGACACCCTGGTCCCCTGGACATCAGCAGAGGGCTGGTGAGATGCCAGCCCTGTTCCAACACACATCATCCAGCACATCCCAGGCACTCTTCCACTTCCACACCACCCAAACCTCCTCCTGGCTGATGGAGGGGAACCTTTGGGTGGGTGCTGGTGTTGTGGGGACCCCCACACTTCCTTCTCTCTCCTATTGGGGAGCCTGGGAAGCACTGGGCTGCTCCAGCCCTATGGCGGTGCCCTCCTCCTCCTGCGGGCCCCTGGGGTCATATTTTCCCTATCAGCTATTTATACAAATCCTGGAAGTTCTAAGGCAGGCACTCTCCAAATATGGGAGCTTGAAGCTTCAGCCAAAAGGGGGAATGTTGGCAAAGAGGGGAAAAATAAGGATGTGTAAAACATTATCCTCTTGGCATTTCATCCCATTCATAAGCGAGCGGAATGGGGCCCGGGCTTTGCAAGCTGGAGCTTTACAAGGGTGTTTTGATGTATCAAAGCACTCAGACAAGGGCTTGATGCAACCTCCTTTAGCTCCCAGCCCTGGCATCGGCTGCTGGCGTGGGCCAAGCCCTGGCCTTGCTATTTAAGGGCCGTTTGGGCCTCCTCTGGAGCAGCACAAACAAGGGGTGAGCAGGGAAAGTGGCTTCGTTTCAGGCTGACCCCAGCACCAGCAGCACAAGGGCGCACGGCTGGGTTCTGGGTCAAGAGCATCGCTGGGAATGCCCATGGATAGTGAGGGCGTTGGGCTGGGATCTGTGGAGCAGGCACCAGGGCAGGAGGCCCGGCTCTGCCATCACCCTGCTGCTGGCTTCCCATCCTCATCTCCACTTCCCATCCTCATCTCTGCTTCCCATCCTCATCTCTGCTTCCCACCCTCATCTCCACTTCCCACCCTCATCTCTGCTTCCCATCCTCATCTCTGCTTCCCACCCTCATCTCTGCTTCCCATCCTCATCTTCACTTCCCACCCTCATCTCTGCTTCCCACCCTCATCTCCACTTCCCATCCTCATCTCCACTTCCCATCCTCACCTCTGCTTCCCACCCTCATCTCCACTTCCCATCCTCATCTCTGCTTCCCACCCTCATCTCTGCTTCCCATCCTCATCTTCACTTCCCATCCTCATCTCTGCTTCCCATCCTCATCTTCACTTCCCACCCTCATCTCTGCTTCCCATCCTCATCTTCACTTCCCATCCTCATCTCTGCTTCCCATCCTCATCTCTGCTTCCCACCCTCATCTCTGCTTGCCATCCTCATCTTCACTTCCCATCCTCATCTCTGCTTCCCATCCTCATCTTCACTTCCCACCCTCACCTCCACTTCCTATCCTCATCTCTGCTTCCCATCCTCATCCCTGCTTCCCATTTTCATCTCCAATTCCCATCTTCACCTCTGCTTCCCATCCTCATCCCTGCTTCCCACCCTCATCTCTGCTTCCCACCCTCACCTCTGCTTTCCATCCTCATCCCTGCTTCCTATTCTCATCCCTGCTTCCCACCCTCACCTCCTCTTCCCATCTTTGCCTCTGTTTCCCATCCTCACCTCTGCTTCCCATCCTCATCCCTGCTTCCCATCCTCACCTCTGCTTCCCATCCTCACCTCTGCTTCCCATCCTCACCTCCGCTTCCCATCCTCATCTCCACTTCCCCAGCACCGATGGAGCTGCAGGGCTCAGTGTCTTCTCCTGCAGTGCATCCATGGTGCTTTCAGCCCATTCCCACCCCACCATGGCCCGGAGGGGAGGGACATCCCACTGCAGTCAAAGCGAGGAGCAGACACGGCAGATGCAGGCATCCAAACACCACTTCTGCTGTCTTCCCCTGGCACTTACATGAGACTTTTCCTCCTCATCCTTTGCCCATCCCTTGCACTGGCCAGAACTGCTGGTTCCCTCTACCTGCCATGGGACAGGGAGGCAAATCCAGGCCGGAGATCTGGATCTGCTTCCAGATCAGCGGGTCAAGTGGCTCTTTAGAAGTCTCTGGGAAACGATGCTCATATCCCGGATCAGAGCAGCTCCTTTGGCTGTTGCTGCAGGATAAACAATGGGTATTTAAAAAGACTTCTTCATATGTAGAGCCCGGATGGATGAGGGAAGATCCCTGCTTGGGGAGAGATGGGATGCAGGGAACACGAGCTGCAGGGAAGCACAAAGAGGTCCTGGTGCCCATGGATGTGTTTGCAGAGAGGGACCCTGAGGTGGTCCCAGACACATCAGAGGGGGACAGGGTTTGCCTGGACATGGTAGAGGGGTGAGACAGCTCAGGCATCACAGGATCCCAGCCTGGTTTGGCTTGGAAGGGTCCTTAAAGCTCATCCTTAAAGCCATGGGCAAGGACACCTTCCACTAGACCAGGTAGCTCCAAACGCCATCCAACCTGCCTTTGAAGAGCAGCTAAGGGCTGAGCCTGGGTGAGGTGTAAATCACCCTCCTGATCCCACACAGAGCTTTCACACGCGGCCGCTCCTGCCTCAGGGGATGCAAAATCCCTGCGCTGTTTAATCCCTATCCCACCGCCTTATCCAGGCTGCGAGCACCCAGCCACCCTCATGGAGCGCTGCGGGTTCACACGCAGAGCTCTCATTCTAATCCCCTACACCAAGGGTTGATCCCAGACAGGGAAAGCAGATAAATCAGTGCCTGGCACTCAGCAGATAGAGGTGAGCCTGGGCAAGGGGGCTTTGCTGCTCCCGTGCCCTTCCACCTCAGGTATTAAGCACAGTTTAATCCTCCATCCCTCCTGTTCAATGCAGAACGGCCCCTGTGAGCTCACCAAAGCTGGTTGGAGGGCAGGCAGGCACCAGCTTTGCCTCCTGGCATCATTAAACGCAGCGCATTCAGCTCCTGCCAAGGCTGATGCCACCCTAGGATTAAAGGAAAGCTTTTTATAGCTGGGAATCTTGCTCTGTGCCCTGGCTGCAGAGCCGCTGTTAGAGACCAAGCGATAACACAGAGCAGGAATCGCAGCAACGGCAGCGACACGGGATCTCCCTTTTCCCCCTTTGGCACAGCCCTTCTCAGCTTCCCCATCGCAGGAGGGGGTCAGGAAGCAAATGCAGCACAAGGGATTGCGCTGAACCTGCCAAAGGAGCCTTGGAGGGGGCTCTGTCCACCCATGGGTGCAGGGAGCAGAGCAGGGCGCAGGCTGTGCTGCGCTGGGAGATGCAGTTACTTTGCACCAGTAACAGTCGGTGCCAGAGCTGTGTCGCAAAGGGCTGCCCAGCCATGGAATCCAGAGCCAGAGCAGTGCTGGAGCAGGTCCCAGCCCAGAGCAAAGGGCAGCAGAGGAGGTTCCCCAGCACAGCGAGCACCAGCACTCCAACAGCCCCATCAGCACAAGGGGACCCAGCCCTGCAACAGAGACCCCATGGACCAACATCACCCTAAAGGGCTACATAGGGCTGGTGGGACACCCCCTCTGCAGCAAACACACAATGGGCTCAGGGCCCTCACCACACCACTGCCTGCACCAGAACAAGGTCCCAGCACCTTTCCATCCCTCCCTGATCCCTAAATGCCTCCCAGGTGGACGGAGCTGCATCCCAGCCCCTCTTGTTATTGGGGCTGGAATAGCCCAATGGTGAGATGGGGATGCTGTGGGTGCAGGGAACCCACCCGGAGCCATGGGGTGGGTGAGGCAGTGGGTGAGGCGATGCTCTACCCTCTGCCTAAGCAAAAGATGCTCAAGGAGCATCATTCAGCCCTAAATCCGCCTTGGAGGGAGCTTGATGTTCCTGGGGCCAGGCTGGGCTTGAGGCCGCCTTTAATGCTCTCAGCACGGAGACTTTAGGAATAGTTTCCATATCGGGTCCACGGATCTCGCTTTGAAGTTGTTTGGGATCATCTGTCACCACGTTTCCTTGTCAGCACATAAACACGCTGCCATGAAGCTTTCACCCTGTCCCGGGAAGGCTGGAGGAAGCTGTCCATAAACTCCCAGCTCCATAGAAGCTCTTTCCTTGGTAAATACAAGGAGAGCTCTGGAAGCATCAGCCAGGGCTCAGGACAACAGCAGGAAGGGAAGAATCCTGTGTGAGAACAATAAAGCACATCAAAACCGGGCCGTTTGGCTGGGTTTAGGGTGTGTTTTAGGCAAAGCATGCTCCATATCCCACTGCCCTGCAAAGGGAGACGTG